AAGGAAGGAAGGAAGGAAGGAAGGAAGGAAGGAAGGAAGGAAGGAAGGAAGAAATTAATTCTATGAAACACCTGTTTTAATATTTATTTTATAAAAGTCCTAATTTTCAAAAGTCAGAAGCACAAAACACTGTTCTACAAGAACAGGTTATTATTTTGAAAAACTGCTTGTACATTTCTGTAAATTCTTGCATTCACATATATGCATAAAAAAATCAAGGGTACACATTAATCATTTAGTCTGGCAAACTGCTCTCTTTAATGTAAGAATTTAGAAAACCTTACGGTTTGTTATTATTACTGATGAGACTGCTCTATTTTCATTGGAAACGATGAACCTAGGTGCTGACACCCCAGCCGAGCCCCCAGGGTCCAGCATCTGACCCACTCAGAGGCTTCCTGCAGGACCTTGGCTGTGGTCACCTAGGAAGCAGTGGGAGGGGCACCTTGTTCCACCCCACTGCATTAGCAAGAACAGGCTGACATCTCAGCAACTCAGAATCCTGGGACAAGTGGTGCCTACCTTTGTCTGCTCTAAGTCACAGGGAGCTCCTCTGACAGTCCAGGGTGGTCAACATTTCCTAACAAAAGAAGAAATCTATTTATTCAAAAGAAATGGATGGAAACCCCCCAAAATAAAGACAAATATTTTACATAATCTACAATTAAAACTTAAGCCAAATGATTAACGAATAACTTTATTAAACCCTTGTCAGTTTTAAGAACGCCCTCAATGACTAACCAAAAGATGTATTACACACAACTAGTTATGAGGTTTTACAGTTGTTTAATAGGGAAGAATTGGCCCCAATTAAACTCGCTAAACTAAGGCTTTTTAGATTACTAAAACAAATTAAACTTTTTAAAATGAGAATTTAGGTGATCTTAAAACCTTTCTAAAATGGATAATGAAACTGGCTAAGTTGTAATCTCCCTGGTTTTATTAGTTATATTAAGATAAATTAAGTGAGATTAAAATCTTATTTGATTTATTTACCTTTGAAAATGAAGACCGTTTAAGGGTTACACATCCTCAGCCTTGGCGAGCGCGACCTCAATTAGTCAAGTCAGACTGTCTTTAAAAGCTCTGTGCTTATGCTTCCAGCATGGAGCGAGGTGTTCATTAAGGTACCAAAAGTCTCATAAAAAATCCAAAGTTGCACTAGTGAAAAAACGCTCGACAAGATGAAAACTGATCACATCCTTTTCAGAAAATCCAGTAGTTATTTTAAAACCAGTTTTAAAACCAGATTTGGTTTGCGTGGGGTTAACGTGCCACTTGAGCAGCTCGATACCGTGTGGACTCTTTAGACCGCATTTGAACCTATGGTGAGTATATCATGGCACATTTAATTTTATACCACTTTTAAAATAAGCTGTACAGTATTTAGTGTGACAAGCATCGCTAGAGGAACCCTTTCCCTGTTTACAGCTATTTATGAAGGCCTTTTTAAATAGAAAGACATGAAATCGTTAGCTCACACACACGAAATTTCTTTCAAAAGTTTATTTAGTATCAAGCAAGAGGAGACTTTGCTTAACACTACAGAACATTTCAAGACTCGAGTTACAAAAGAATACCACATTGTTTGCACTTGTAATTGGCTCCCTTTTTACGCAAGTTGGCAAGAAAAAAAAACTAGCATATGGCTGAAAGATAAAATAACTAAATTCTATGGAAACCTTTAAAATCAAAGGTGAGGCTTATGTTAAAAGAATGGATTAACATATTTAGTAAACCTATCTTTTTGTTTAACACTAGTTAATCAAAGTTATTTTTTCCTTTTCATGACCTAGTTTTCATATACAGACTGCAAATAACAAAATTTTACATGTCCTTCTCCCTGCCAAGTGGATGCTTCAACAAAGTGGTTTTAAATTCCATCCATTCAGATTTTAAGCATTTTGATTTATTTAAAAAGGGATTGTTCATAGAAAAAAATTACTTTGAACAGTATACAGGACGGTGGAGATTGGCTATTTCACAACATCAGACAGTACAATCAGTATCTGCCATATGGCTGCTCTCTGTAGACGCCCTTCGCCGTCCTCGCTGAAGGCGCCTTATGTCTTGAGTTAGTCCATTCTTCTTGCCCTAAAATCAGGAAGATGAATCACAATTAGGCCATTGTCATGGGGTCCCAGTAGCTCCATCCGTCAGAAGCAGTGGTAAATGTCATACTGAAGATACGTGTCTCTGATGTACTAATAAAAGAAGCACAAGGGGATTTACTTTAAAATATTATAAACACAGCACAAGATGGTCGTGTCACCGGCGACATGATCACCTTGAGAAGAGTGGCCACTGACTGCAAGAATTTCCTCAGAGCAAACCAACAGCTTTAGACTAAACTCTAAGAGAATGGAAAAGGACTATTCTAATTTCTTCCAACAGCAAAGAAAATGAAAAAGAACACAGATATTTTAGGATAAAAAAATGAAAAATTGAGATCAAAGTGGGGAAGGCAGATGGAGAAAAGAAAAATCTGTCTTGTCAGGCTCTCTTGTCACAGAGAGACCGAAGGAGGCACACTGGTGGGGACGTGGCAGAGACACCATGCCATGAACAGCACACATGAACAGCGGCTGCTAACTTCAAACATTCGGTCACCCTTACCCCCTGAAAGTCAGCAGTGTCCAATGTCAGGACTTTTATTTATCCCCAGGTCTCAGAAAGCAAATAAATAGTTAAGTCCTTGCTGCAACACAAAGCAATCAAAAAGCCATGTGTCCTCAGAGACCAATTTAAAAAGCTGTGAGAGAAAAATGCTTAAAATGACCTCTTCTGATCAAACATGCAATCAATGCCATTCCCTTTGGCTGACTTGCACAGATTTCAGTAGGCAGCACTTGCCAGGTCAATGCATGTCTCTTAAATGTTCATCATAACCACCCCCCCCCAAAAAAAACCCAGACCAAACCAAAGAAAACATCAACAACAACAAAACCCCAGCCCCTGGACGGTGATACATCAAAATGCACTTCAAGGTACACCAGAAAAAGGGTTTTCAGTTAAGTTCAGGAAATGTTGCAGAGCTGACTTCCCAGGCTCCCCACTCACGGGAACAGGACACCAGGTATTCTTGGAGATTTGCTACCAATAGAGGCTTCTTGTTTCCTGATCTCTGCCCCGTAGCAAAGGCACTTCTTACTATCACTTTGTCGCTACCGTCACTTCCAGTAATTAAACCTGTAATCCTTCTTCAGCTTATTGAGGCTCATGGATTCCCCAGCACCTTAGTGGTCTCTGCAGAACTAAGAGGAGTTACCTCCTAATGAGTCCAACAACCCTTGTGTCTCCTCCATGGCTCAGCTTTTGTAACCTTTAAGAAAGGATTCTTAGGATGATTCTTCTGAGGTCTTGAGGTGGGGAGAGGAATTAAAATGTAAAGATGGGAGAAGGACAAGCATGAGAGGCGCAGTCTCAAGGGCTTTACTTCCTTTACTGTCAAGGAACAGAGACAGTTCAGAGGACTCATGCCTGCAGGTGTCTGCAGTTTGGCAACCTAAAGCAGCGAGAAGATCAGCACTGGCCATCAACCCAGACAAAGCAGCTAGGCGTGGGATCCGAACCGCACTGTAACACACTCTTCAGTTGCCTTAAATTACTGCATTTAACTATTAAAAAGGCTCTGACAAGATCAGGGTGCACACAGGAATCGAGAGGAGGGTTCACACACAAAATGAATTCGTCATGAAAACAAGTACGGATCTCCCTTCCAATAAGGACTTTTAAGGTTTGTCCATGCCCATTTGTCCTCTCTCTCTGTGATTATTATGGCCACTCACTCACCATAGGAATCATAAGCCTCCTCACCGAGTCCGTGCCCGTAATCATAGTAATCAGCTCCGCTGCACGAACAAAAGAAAACACTGTTAGCACAAGATGTTTCTGCTGTGGGGCTAAATCACACCCAATGCAGTACTCAAAACTAGATAAACTAAAAATAGAAAAGGCTAAAGTGGAATTAATTCCTCCTGAGATGACAGAATGCTGAGAAAAGACAGACTTTTTGACTATCAAAGGCTCTTAACTCCTGAGTCTGTCACTCAAACCACATCTGGGAAAAGGCTGGGGTCCTCACCAGGTGGGCTCACACCAGGTGCTGTGGAGCATGGGCAGGAAGCCGGGAGCACTATTTCTTTCCAAAAAACAGACATGGTTTCTTTGATTCTTTCAAACATGTCACAAAACTCAGCACCATGACGGAGCACTTTACTCATCCACTCAACAGCAGGCCTGAGAGAGTCTGCTCTTCAGCAGCATCACCATGTTACCATCAGAGTGGAAGACCTCACACCTGGGTGCCTGGAGTTACAAGGTCTTTTCAATGGATAGACAAGACTAGGTTCTAATCTGTCATTCCCAAGACAGCAAGGAGAGCCTGCTGTTGCTACCATTGAGCAGATACTATAAAAATAGGCTTCATCTTCATACCACATTTGAATTGTGTGCGGTTCTGTTTTGTTTTTACAGACAGAAGTTTGGTT